TCCGGGTTGATGATGCACAGCCCATATCCCATTATCCCATATCCCATATCCCATTACCTGTAGGGTTTCCCGGGTTGATGATGCACAGTGCCCGTGGGCTGCAGTGTTTCCTGCCCTCAGCCAGCGCCCGCCGCAGCTCGGCCACGTCCAGGGCCCACCCTCGGTCCTCGTTGAGGTAATAATTGACCTGCACCGCGTCCAGCTCGGCGATGGCGGCCGAGTAGAGCGGGTACTGCGGGATCGGGATCATCACCCCCGTGCGCGACGACCCCGAACCCGCCACCAGCAGCTTCAGCATGTTCTGGGGACAGACGGACAGACAGAGGGGTCACCGGGGGGACACGGAGGGGACACGGCCCGGGGGGGACAGTGGGGACACCACCGGGGTGGGAATGGGGACAGGGATGGTGTGGGATCATAGGGACACCATGGGGACACCAATGGGGACAGGGAGGGGACAGGGATGGTGTGGGATCATGGGGACACCATGGGGACACCAATGGGGTGGGAATGGGGACAGGGAGGGGACAGGGGGGCTTGGGAGAGAGGGCGTGGATGTGGGAACAGTGTGGGGACATGGAGACACCGTGAGGACACTGTTGGTGTGGGAATGGGGACGGGGAGGGGACAGGGATGGTGTGGGGTCATAGGGACACCGTGGGGACACCAATGGGGACAGGGAGGGGACAGGGATGGTGTGGGATCATAGGGACACCATGGGGACACCACTGGGGTGGGAATGGGGACAGGGAGGGGACAGGGGGGCTTGGGAGAGAGGACGTGGATGTGGGGACAGTGTGGGGACATCATCACTGGGGTGGGAATGGGGACAGGGTGGGCACAGGGTGGGGACAGGGTGGGCACAGGGTGCCATGGGCACAAGGACGTCGGGGGCACAGAGACAACACGGGGACCAGGGGGCTGTGGGGACACTGGGATGGCACAGGGACACTGTGGGCACGGGGATTCTGGGGACACTGGGATTCTGGGGACCGGGACAGCACAGGGACACTGTGGCCACGGGGACAGGGTGGGACTGGGATTCTGGGGACACTGGGACTCTGGGGACTGGGATTCTGGGGACACTGGGACTCTGGGGATACTGGGATTCTGGGGACACTGGGATGGCACAGGGACAGGGTGGGGACTGGGATTCTGGGGACACTGGGATGGCACAGGGGCAGGGTGGGACTGGGGATTCTGGGGACTGGGATTCTGGGGACTGGGATTCTGGGGATTGGCATTCTGGGCACCGGCACGGCACAGGGACAAAGGGATGGCACAGGGACACTGTGACCATGGGGACTGGGATTCCGGGACAGCACAGGGACACCGTGGGCACGGGGACAGGGTGGGAGTTGGGATTCCGGGGACTGGGATTCCGGGATTCCGGGCCGGCACAGGGACACCGCGTCCACGGGGACAGGGTGGGCATTGGGATTCTGGGGACACTGGGATGGCACAGGGACAGGGTGGGCACAGGGATTCTGGGGACTGGGATTCTGGGGACACTGGGATGGCACAGGGACACCGTGGGCACGGGGACAGGGTGGGCACGGGGACAGGGTGGGGGTTGGGATTCCGGGGACTGGGATTCCGGGATTCCGGGGCCGGCACAGGGACACCGCGTCCACGGGCACAGGGAGGATAACGCCGGGATAACGCCGGGCACACGGAGGACACCGAGTGCCCTCAGCCCGGGCACGGGGCCACGGGGCCGAGCCCAGCGCCGGCCAAACCCCTCCTGCCCCGCCACCCCCAGCGCTGGCACGGCCCCCGTGGAACCACCAAGGCCACCCCACACCCCCCCCCTTCCCGGGCCACCCCACACCCCCCCTTCCCGGGCCAACAACCCCTTCGGGAGCCGCGCCAGACCCCGCACAAAGGGCCCTTTGTGGGCGCCCGCCGTGGGAACGGCGCGGGGAGGTGGCACCGAGCCCGTGTGTCCCCAACCCCCCCGGGTGTCTCCCCAACCCCCCGTGTGTCCCCACAACCCCCTCGTGTGTCCCCAACCCCCTCAATGTCCCCACAACCCCCCCCCGTGTCC